ACAGAGAGGAGAAAGAAAAGAAAGCAGCAAAGTGTGGAGCAGAAGAGAGAACAGAGACAAAAGGAAAGTCTTTCAGAAAAATCTTTTATTGGATTTCAGAGATGTGTGATCATGAAAAATGACAGCTGATGACAATAGTGGACAGTTGATGGATTCACTGTCCATCTGCTGCTTAGACAGAAAGGAAGTATACCAGGAAATGTTACGCTGTACAGTACAGTACAGTTCATGTTCATGCAGCAGATATATATGTATAGACAACTGAATGGATAAAGCTTAGGCTTTTCTCCAGGGAAAAGAAAATTTGATAAAATGTGCTCTTTAGAGTTAGGGTGTGGCTGCCTCTTTTTACTAAACTCCTCTTGCCAAAACAGGATCCAAAGTCAAGGGCAGTGTGTTATACTGCAGGTAATTATGGCTCTTCAGGGACAACACCAAAAAGCACAACAAGGCATCGGGTTTGATTACTCATTTCAACCAAGCCAGGCTGTTGTTGTTAATCAAAGACAAATTGAAGAACCTGTTCAAAGCTGACACATGGTAGGCACACGGGGAATTAGGGTGACATCTGCTTGCAGTCATTTTTTTTAATCAAAGGTAAGACTGATCTCAGGGTTCATTGTGGTCAGTCATATCACAGAGATGCAGGTAAATAAGGTGAAGTGAATGCAAGACTGAATATCATGCAGAGATGAGAAGAGTGGTGGCTCAGGTGTTATTTCTTATCTGTAGGGGGTCAAATGTCATATTTCAGTGTATGATCAGGGTCACTGCTGGTACATCAGTGAAGGCTGTTTGACTTCTCTTTAGATCCTGGGTGACTGAGGGACAGAAAGACCATTACAAGGTTGTTAGGTGGCTTTTGGACACAGTGCACATATTCCCCATTATTTATATATACGGTGTATATATATATATGAAACTGTCTGACGTTTTTTGACCACTGGACAAAAGGTACCAAATGATTGTGTATAAAATAGCAGATTCTAAAAGACAGATGCAAAAGGACCAAGATGAGAGTGTGCAGGCAAAATGTTTCACTTCTGCCCCAACCAAAGCCGCTGAGGAGCAGAACAGTCTTTGACTACTGTTATCACCTAACAATTCTCCTTGAATGACAGACACTTAAAAATCAGATGCAATGATTTGTCAGTCCATTGTCTGTCTGTAGCTGCTGTTAAACTTAGTTCAAACGCATTGATAACAGTCAGTACAGTTAAACAGTGATTTGAATGTAGTCTTTGTCTCCTACTGTGTATGCTTCATCCCTATCAGCAGTGCGTTCCCAATACTCTATGTTTTATCTAAAGGCAGACACTCTAAACACACACACACACACACACACACACATTTCCCTGTATGTTGAACCCAGAGCTTTCCTCTTAACCAAGGAGTAGGGTATCACAGATATAAATCACTGGGTGCCTTCCTAACATGTTTAAATGGCTGTTAGTGTTTCACAGCTGTCCTCAGGGAGAAAACACCCCTGATAGCATGTTCCCATCTCTGAGCTGACATGTTGCCATGCTATATATGAGCTAGCAGAAGCCTCTACCGCTCTCTCAGGAATGTTAGCAAGGAATGACAATGAGTGTGCACTGTGTGTGTGCGTGTGTGTGGCACTGTTCCTCCTGGCTTTGTTTGTTGTGTTCAGTGATGCAGGCTGCTTTGTGCTTTCGCTCTCTCTCTCTCTCTCTCTCTGTGTGTGTGTGTGCGGGTGTGTGTGTGTGTGTGTGTGTGTGTGTGTGTGTGTCCAGTAGTTTGACAGCAGTTACACACTGCCCTCTAGTGTTACCAGCTGAAAGAGAGGAAAACTCAGATAACTGGTACTCCTCTGTGCTCTCTCTCCCTCTCTCTCTGTCTTTCTGTGTGTGTGTGTGTGTGTGTGTGTGTGTGTGTGTGTTAGTGGTCCATCAGGGGCAGTGGTGTGGGTCTTCCTTAAGCTGAAGTGAGTGGTGGGGAGGCAAGGGGGTTGTGTTGATGGGTTTATGTGGTACTGTGCCAAGCTGTTATCTCCTTAGCCGGGTAGAAAATGATTTTATTAATTGCTTCATTTAACGCTCCCCATGTCCCCCTCCTTCTTTCCCTCTCCTACACAAATACACAAACAACACTGCACAAACACACTCCATTCCAACCAAGCTCGCCCTGCGTACACCTCTGTGACAGTTCAAATGTTCTCTCTCTCCCTCTCTGCAGGGACCGGTACAAAGAACAGTATGGCCATAAAGGCCATATGCTGGCCCATTCAGATGTAATAGCAGGAAGGCCCAGGGAGGCCCAGCCAGAGGAGCTATGCTCCATTATGGCACATTATAGAGAAGAATAAGAGAGGAGCAGTGTGTGTGTGTGTGTGCGTGTGTGTGCGCGCACTTTTATGGCAGCAGTGTGAGGACTAGTTTGAATTTTATAAAATGGGAGTGAAGGCATTTTGACCAGTCTTCACTTTCTAACACCCCTTCACAGAATTGTTTGAAGGTTAAGACTTGGTTACATGTGTTAGGACTTGGGTTTTAGTTAGGTTATGTAAGGGTTGGGGTTAGGTATGTTGTGGCTCTGGTTACAGTTATGATAAAGCCCAAGGAATGCAAGTCATTGCAATCTTCCCTTAAGTCACTAACACTAGGTTGTGTGTGTTTGTGTATAGAGGAGAAGCAGACGGCTACAGCTGGGTCAGTGTAGCCAGATTCGGCAGGGGTGTCTTGTTAGACGTACAGTGCACACACACATGCAGACTGGCTTGGCAACAACAATAACCTCTGAGGTCAGACAGAGCTAGCGCAGCATTAGCCCCTGTGTGAACCTGCTGAGAGAGAGCAAGCCAGTGCAGCTGGTGTTAACCAGCCAAAACATACACACAAAGAGTGGCAGAACAACCACAGTGGCTCCGGTACAAATGTCATAACTGTGCCAACACCATCAGACAACACTGTATGTATAACTAAATAAACATTTCCAGACCGTTGACTAGATTATTGACCAGCTGCACTTTGTGTGGCTGGTTAATAAGTGGCTTTATTGAAGACTTGACTGCTTCTCAGAGACAGTCGTGACAACAAAATGAATAGAATCAGGGCAGCAAGAAAAGTAAACTGCCATGTCTCGAAAGGGTAGGAAACACCTGTCTTGAGAGCCTTGCTGCTGGTGCTGAGCTCAACACTTGGGCTTTTTTAGAAAAGGGTTACAAGTCCATGAATAAGCATTTGTGCTTATGAGTAGTATTGTTTTCATGTACAAGCTCATTTCTCCTGCCAAAGTCTGTGCCGTACCTGGCAGCACTGTATCTGTGCCTATGGGAACTCACTTATTTCAGTCTGTCAGTCAGGCATGTTTTATTTTCCCACTGTAGCAGTGCCTACAGGTTCCTTGTTCAGCTCTGTCGGCACTCCACCATCCCAGCCATGCCAACAGGGCACTCACTTTGGGAGGGCAGTGCAGTGGGTAGGGTGGGAAAGTGAGGGAGCGCTGGGGTGGAGAGATTTAAAGAGAGTATGCGTGTGAGTATTTGTGCGAGGCATGAGAGATGCAGGTATCAGAGCTGCTGCCTCCTTGACGAAAAACGATGCACTCAGGTGAAGAGGTGCACAAGTCTGTGTGCTGTTGCGTGTGTTAGATGATTACTTAGTTAATCAGCGAAAAATCACATCAACAAATTATTGACAATAATTGTGATAACTGATTAATTGTTTCCAGCCACTACGTGTAGAATTTCAAAATTCGGCAAGAAAGATGCTGTTGCCAACAGCAGCGCACGCTGTTCCAGTCCCCATTTGGGACGCTTAGACAAATATGCTAAATGCAGCCCATTGCCTGCTGCACTTTTCACCAGGACTGTCTCATTTTTCTACAGACAGAAGTTTTTAAAGATGCTGTAATCTTGTAAAAAAATAGAATGTTTAATATTTGCTGGTTTGAACTTCTCAAATGTGAATTTATTTTTAGCTTTTTTGTTTGTTTTATATTACTTGAAATGTCAGTGATACAGTGGGTACGGAAAGTATTCAGACCCCCTTAAATTTGTCACTCTTTGTTATATTGCAGCCATATGCTAAAATCATTTAAGTTCATTTTTTTCCTCATTAATGTACACACAGCACCCCATATTGACAGAAAAACACAGAAGTTTTGACATTTTAGCAGATTTATTAAAAAAGAAAAACTGAATGAATAAGCACATGCAAAAATGTGTAAACATGTCTACAAGAGTGTGTGTGTGTGTGTGCGTATGTCAGGTTATATTGCTCATGGGTAATCCCCTAATCCTTTAGCTTTTCACTGTGATGGTAGATACACACCTGTTGAAGTAGCAGCCACCTCCACCTCTCAGTGCCCCCTTCAATACATTTACCACATGTACACGTACAGATGCACACAGGCATTCATGCCAGCTCACACTCCACATGCACACACCCAGCACCTGAGAGATTCTGCTTTCACCTCTATAAAAAGAGGGAGATCTCACATTTGCACTCACTGTTCAGTTATACATCTCACACGTGGGTCCCCCCCCCCACACACACACACACACACCCCTGTAATGCTACCTGATAGCAGAGTGTTTGATGGAGGCTCTGGCAGACTAGCAGATAAGCCTGGTCAGGCAGTGGGTGGTCCTCTTTCACAGTATTGATGTTGAGGTAGTAACAGATCTCTGCTGGACAAACTACTGATTTAGTCAGATGAGGTTACTGTAGGAAGAGACAAAGCTGTCAAAGTTCAGACAGTCCTCTGACTGAGTATTCATTTTAATGTACTTGCAGTAAGACAGGGTTTGTCCTCAAGGATTAACTCTGTGCAGGCTTCATTCACTCTCAAAATACAAACTGAAACTGCAGCTCACATACCAATGGTTCATTCTTCAGTTCAGAGTGGACTTAAGTGAAAGAATGATTTCCTTTATTTTCAGTGTGAGACTAATTTGTTTATGTTTTACCATAAAGATGTTTGATTGGGTTCAAACATGTAACATTTCTTTCTAGATAAAATGAGCACTAGAATTAAGCTTGTTTTGGCCCTTGACTGTGTAGTGGACAGAATCAGCTTTGGTAAATTGGATCAAGAATCAATATGGCAAAATGTAGAAAAATAATAATAACTATAAGTAACTAAACATTGATTACAGTCCACCTCCTGAATCGATCTGACCTCATCCTGCAATTAACAATTCCTCCACATGAAAACCAATGTGGCCCTCTGCAAATGTCAGTGGCAGAGCTTGTTACTTGCATTCCTAGTTGATGTAGAAGAACAGATATGACATGGACATATTGAAAATATTCTCTGAATGTAATGGCAGTTAAAGCCACAATAAGGAATTTTGTTCACTACTGGGAAGAAATAGGGATTTGTCCATGTATATAAAACTGGGCAACGTGTCACCATTTCTTTCTACTGTTCAACAGTAAAGCTGAAATATTGTCAATATGGCAGTGGCCATCTTGCTTTTGTGACACATTTTGCAACCAAATTCTGCTCATTAGCTTTGAATACACTCACTGCTGACTATTTGCACACACAGCTCCCATGTAGCATACATTCTCTTTTCACTATATTGTGTTCTTGTTGTATTTTTCATTATGCTTCTTTCATTGGCTGTTTTAAAGTGCCTTAGATTTTGGTATTTAGATTTTGTGTTACCTACGTATCTACTTTGTATGTCATTTATATTGTGTGGCATTTGTGCAGACGGCAAAGTAAAAATGTCATTGTACAGGGAAACGCGTTTCGTCACTGTGCATATGACATTAAACACACTTGACTTGACTTGACTTGACATTAGTGACCAGTCAGAGTCATCCAAAATACACCTTTGTTAAAATGATCAAATAACTTCTTAAAAACAAACTTGTACACAAATCAGTGTGATAATATCTAAAATGACAGAAATCACCTTTAGGAAAAATGTGTACTTTTTTAATTCTGCTAACATGGAGGAGCTTATGACCTATACCGCAACCAGCCACAAGGCGGCGATTGACTTGTGGTGGCTTCACTTCCAGCAAGTTCTCCTACCTACATGACTATAAGATCATTTGTCCCTGCCCTCTCATACTGCCCATAGGAGTGCCTGCTTAAGCAGAACTCCTATGGCACTGGATGGAATTACAGCAGCACCAACATTGATGACAATGTACCTGAAGAGTTTTACAGACTTTTGTTGTCATAATAATCTGCTGGCACAATTGACATATAGAGTCATTTTTACAGGAAGACTGTCTGTTCACTTCCGACCAGCTGTCATGTTGTCCATTTTTATATACAGTGTATGGTTTTCCTATTTTTCAGTGGCTTACTGGGTTCCTTTGTGCAACATGTTAGGACAGTTACCTCATCACACACTCAGTGGACATAAAGCGGCATTATCAACTCGCTGCAATATCGATTCATTTAATAAAGCCTGTGCTTCAATACTGAGTAATTTGTGTCAATAAACATTTCAAAATGCATAACATAACATGGACAATATGAGAAATAATGAAATTTCAGCTTTTCAAAATGACAAGTTCACCCAAATTCTAGCATTTTTTTCATTTACTTATGTGACTTGTACTATATTTCACAGAAGAAATAGTTACTATGCAAACTGATAACAGGGAAAAATATCTTGAACAGGAAAATACTGTTGAAATATTTAACTTTTTAACAAAATTCCATCCATTTCCATTAGATGAAAGTGAGAAATGTTTTTTTGAATCTTTTGTGATCTCACTTTTTGTATTATTTTGTTCCTCCAATTAATAACTGACTCTGAAAAGGGATTTATTATGAGTTTCTAGAGTTTTAATCGTTTCCCTCAACTTTACTGACATCTTTTATTCTTCAGGGTCCCCCAGGATCTCAGCCTTCCCCTCACACGCAGCCTCCTCCTCACAACGCCAGTAATCCCATGATGGGACCTCACGGACAGGTAAGATGGAAACATTTACTTAATCTTTCTTTTCCTTCAGCTGCTGGGTTATAGTCGTCCCTCCCTACTCTGACTTTCACACACTCACTCACTCACACACCAACAGTGTACAAACAGCACACAACTCCCTTGTTGTGCTAACAGACAGGACAGACGGCATCCACAATGGCGGGTTGGATGAATAATTTAGCTGCGTTGTCCAGCTGTAAGGAGCGGAGGTGCATCTGGAGGGCCTCGTCTCTCGCTTAGCCCAGCACTCACCATCCCATAGTCCATCAATAAACCATTAATATTGCAGTACAGCCTGACATGGTGCAGCTATTCATGCACAAACCCACCACAACATGGTCAAAGGAGTAGAGAAGAGGAGAGGAGTAAGGATGGAAGGGGGTTTAAAAAACAGTAGTAAGTCAGTCTTTGCCTCAAGGGCTAACTCTGATTATATAACTCATCCTCCATTTGCCTTAAGCACATATACACACTTACACATCGACACACAAAACATAATTAGCATTGAACGCTAGTCTCCTATTGTATTTGTGTTGTGCTTATCTCTGTGTGAAGATGATGATATGAACATTATTCTGCTGTTCATGCTCTGTAACCAAAACAAACAACCTTTACCCAATCGGTATTCAAATCAGCATGTTTCCCCTTGATATTTAAATAGCTGGATTGAGTTTAGAATTAATTCTTATCATCTGACACTGAAATGTGGCTCACTCGATGTGGGTATTTGTAGATGCAGCAGCACACTCTCCTAGGTAATTCTGAAAACCATCTGTCTGGGGTATTTTACATTATTCACTAGTTGTGCGCTGGCTCTGTGTGTCTCAGCCAGCCTGTTCTTGTCCCTTCTCTGCAGAAACATCTGTGTGGAGGGTGTCTTCGGTTCCTCTTATGGATCACACGATCCAGAATGCTGCATTTTTGTAGCACTGATGTCTGGTTTTACAGACGTAGAGGGAAAATAATGAGCACATGTGCAACTGCACAAACCAGACAAAAATTCAAGATCTAGTTTTGCTCGTGCTATTCCATTCTCACAACAGTGTCATGTTTCTCTTCTTTTCTACTCCACCTTCCTCTCACCCATATTGTTATTCCAGTGTCCAAGTTTTCATCCTGTATGTGTTCCCTCTCCCCTTTTCTCTGTTTTGTCCTCCTTTATCTTAACACTAATGGATTTTACCACCTGAGGTCTATTAACATGCATTATAACTTAGTGCAATAGCGCCCCCTGCTGCCGTGTAAGGATAACACCTCTGTGAGATAAAGAAAGCCTGTTTTGCTTAATCCTTTTTCACTAAGTAGGAGTGTTATTTATCAAGATTAACAGTTTGCTCCTTCCTGCCAAGGAGAAAAACCATGTGACTTATCAGTTTACATTGAAATGGTTCTGCTTTTGAAGAGCAGATTTGCACAGATATACACATATACATAATAGATAATATCTTACTACTTTTCTGTGAAGATCTGCACTTAATTAGTTCAGACCCCCCAATAACAGCTTTGTACATCTTAAAACACCAAAGAGCAGTACAGGATGTATGAAGTTGAAATTCACTAAACCGATCATGACAATGGTGTGCTGAGACATGTACTCTGTGGTGAATTGTGTATTTTATAATTTAGGGTTTTTTTTAATGTCATTTAATTTTTATTTATGCCCTGGAAATGTGTTTAATAACTTCCTGCTATAAATAAATATTAACAATATAACCTTATGAATGTCTGAAGCTCTTTGTTCCAATTAGATTATGAAATATGGTGGAATACATTAAGTTATTTCATTCTTCTTAATTTATATATTTAGAAGAAATCCCAATGTCATCATTTTTGTTGTTTAATTCACTGATTCTAGGTGCTGTGTTCATAAATTAGACGTTAGAATTCCTGCTCACTGAATGAAATCTACAGTGCATTTTTTAGTTACATTTGATTAAAACAAAGTTACAAGCTTATTTTGATCATTTGAAGCCTTTCTGTCAAAAATTCTAACAGGTATTCAACATGTGATTGCCCTGAAATAAAGTAACCCATCATCCTTGCCATGTCCCTCCTGCAGCCATTCATGTCTCCACGGTACCCAGGCGGCCCCAGGCCCTCCCTCCGTATGCCAAATCAGCCTCCTGGGAGCATTCCAGGGTCACAGCCCCTCCTGCCAAACAGCCTGGACCCCACCAGACCTCAAGGTACTGGCAAACATGTGGTGTTATTTCAGAGAGGCTACACTGTCACACTTTGTAGAGTCATTTTATAGTGGCCTCAGAATGAGAGCACTTTCTCTTCAGTTATATAATTAATAATGATCCAAACGGTGCTGCCATGCTAATAAGGTGCACTCTCTGTGTTTCACCACAGGGCATCCAAACATGGGAGGTCCAATGAGAATGAATCCCCCCAGAGGCATGGGAGGCATGGGCCCACAGGTAGGCATCAGTTATATTACTCATACAGAATACAACACACAGGGCTGCATTAATAAAGCGAGTCATGACAAGGGATGGTTTCCAGCCCAGTATACTCCCACTCTGCTGCTGCTACATGGCCAGATTACAATAGGTGCTTGTCATTTTATGAAATAACATAATGTTTGGTTACTTGTCACATAGAGCTGCCATAAAAATAGCTATAACATCAAATAGCCTGTAAACTGCATGCACATAATCCTAATACTCCATTGAAGAGAAATTTTGGTTCTACCAGGGTCGTAACTTTGCTTTTAAACACTGTGTCAGAAGCACTCTAATGATTAGCTTGTTTCTGAATCCAGTTCACCCACTGCCAATACCAGTTCTACACTAAAGTCTTGTTACACTTGCTGACTCCCACCTAGGGTGACAAACAGGAGGCAGAATATTCAGCCTGCACTGAGCAAGTCACCACCAGCACATTTTGACCAATGATGGTGCCAGTTTTGGCGCTGCTGGCTTCCTTTCATCGACTTAATTTTTGTTGATGTGATTCAGTGTAATACACAGGACACTTAAACAACAGTGTCCTTTTGAATTACCATTAGCAGACAGCTGCTTCATTCTGCACCCAACCACCTCCTGCTCTAACATCACCCCACACAAAGGCGCACACACACACTCTCCCTGCGCCCCTCGGCCCCTCTCTGTGCCACCCTGGCTTAGTGACTTTGGCAGCAAGTGCACCAGCAGCTGGCATGGCATCTGCTCGACAAGTGTAATCGTCTGCTGAACAAAACTCTTCCTCTGAGTGGAGCTGCTCTCTGGCCTGCCCCACCACTCTGTCTCAGGCACACACACATAAATACCCAAGTACACACACTGTGCCAGCCAAACCCACCTGCTGGGCAGCCATGAAAACATACTCGCAAACACACAGAGGGGAGCTTGAAAACATATCCACACAGCCCACTCCAGGCAGCCCACACACAGTCTATACGTACACATTTGTAAATACTAGTTAGAAGGTGACGTGATCATCACTGACCTGAGTTAAAATCCATAACTTTAGATTAGACAGCAGGGGTATGACACCATTTGGATTGTGTGTTCCTCTCTTTTGCAGAACTATGGTGG